TTCGTTGATGTATTGCGACGTGACTTTCCCTTTCTAAGGAAGAGTTGGTTTTAAGGAATTTGTAAAATGAGCCCACCGGAAACTGAAGGAGGATTACGACTGTTGTATTGTGCGAAGAAGTCCTGTTTTAAGCTGTCGTCTGTACCACCGTGATAGACATTGTCATTTTAAGGAAATGAAGGTCTGGTAGTTAAGTTTACGCACATTCACATGAGGACAACCTACGTTTCTACCAGATTTCACATAGACTCGCTTGCCCAAAATGTCTTCCCATCCAGACAAGAATGGGCTGTAATTTCGACCTCGACCCAACTTGTCCCATCAGCACCACCTACGGGGCTAGCAACCAGGTCGTATTAGGGCCGCGGACAATCTTGACACATTTGACACTTCATTGTGTAGCATCTGGAGAATTAGAGAATTGCCACGCCCCAGAATGCAAATGGTCCACCCGAAATGCATAAGAAGAGTAACTTGCAGCATAAAACATCTCGATGCATCTGTCAGCAAATAAAGCAAACCTCACAATCGCGGCATTGTCCGCTAAAAAAGGGCACACCATGCCACATTGAAATAGGAAATTGTGATATTGAAGGGGTGATACGAGGATATGGGAAAGGCGAATAGCCCATGACAGAAGGAGAGATACCGCAACTGTTTAGCACACATTTGCTCAAAGGATTGGCAAGGCTCACTGACGATGCCGAATACGACGTGGAATGTACTACGTCGACGGTCCGATTCCCGAAATGATCATGCATACAATGGACTCCCGACAAGGTGTGTTCCTCTGGGTCCTTCTAACAACATGACCAAGTTGCGAAAACAAGGTCAAACAACATAAATACAACTTTGCTTCTTCGACGGTACCACCGCAGAAAGGGATGTGAGAAAGGTCTGGCCTTCGACGCAATAGGCCAAGAAAATAAAGGTGGCCACGACCATTCACACTCACTTTTTGTATGCCAAACGTTGTGATGCTGACGAAGCATCGTATGATTTAGTTGGTCATTTCATACCTGACATTCATTCTTGTGGATGAAGAGGGGAGGAGGTTGCTGCGTGAAAAGGGTAGCTGTTTCCTTGCCCTACAGCTTCGTTTACGTAAGTGTCGTTGCCTACTGGGTGTATGCATGACCAAGTCATGTGAATTGTGTGAAACATAAGCAACCAAATTTCCTTTTAAACCGAAAGTCATCTCATACTAACGCAGCAAGAAATTCTTTGAAACCCACTTTTACTTCATATTCTGCTCGCGAATTTTCAGTAAATGTTGGATGTAAGAAACTGGCAGATTGGCGACACGAGAACAGACAACAACCCAACAGTCCGTAGAACAGAACAATTCTCGTTTAGTTTGTGGCGAGGCAAATAGACAACTGCCCTTGCATGGAGGGAGAAAAGACACTCTGCAACCGCTCGTCCAATCTCCCTTCGGTGCACATGACAACAGCACCCAACAACACAAGCTGCGCAGCCTAACGACCGTTTCTTACGATGCTATCCGATCAGGACGACGGCTGATATCTCTACCGGCTCGAGGACAGCATCGAAAAGGATGTCACTCTCTCGTGGAGACAGACAAGGCGATCAAACGAATAAAGAAACCCAACTTTTCTTCGCCGCCATCAAGACTTCATAATTCAGAAACCAGTCAAGCAAGATTGGGCCAGGCCTGTGGCCCTGAGCCCATACAAAGTGTGTGAGCACACTTCGAAATTGTCAGCAATTCCTACTTAATAATTTAGTCCCATTTGGCGTGTAGAAGTACCGGGTCGCTTAACATGAGGCTGGTACCGATGTCTCATACCACTGTTGGGCCAATCGGCGCCTCAGTGCCCAATACTTTTGCCACTCGAATCGGCCCGTATCCTCTTCCAATGCTTCCCCACC